GTGACAGCTTAGCTATCTCCTGCTTGTGAAGTAGAAGTTGTTCAGGGGTCATGCGGTAGATCGCCGATTTCGTAGGGAGTTTCCCTGGCACGAGAAGGATACGGTGATCGTGGGGGCGCTTCGGTGGCAGCCGTATAGGAAGTTTATCCGGAAAGACCGCACGGTGGGCACACAACACCTCCAGTATCACTCGGGGAGTTTCCTGCGCCTCCTCGGAGGTTAGCCACGTATCGAATTTCGAGTACTCTAGTTTGGCCGTTGGCCAAGGGGATGTTTCCTCGTCGTCGGGATACGCGGAAGCGGGTAGAACCTTAAGACACTGTCGGTGGGGGTTGGAAGGGGAGGTTTCGACCAAGGCACAACATAAAGCCCCTTGCCTCTCCTCCACTAGACGCAGAGCCACGTCCGACTCCATCGCGGGAAGCGCTAGTATAACGTAGAGCCCTTGAAGTGGGTGGTGTATGAAGGCCGCACTCTCCGAAACCTGCTGCAACAGGGCAGCGACCACGGCTTCCCGCTTGCCCCTGGAGGGTGGCTTGTACCTCTTAGTGGGAGGGCGTAGAAGCGCCGTAGCTTCCTCCCGAGTCATGTCCGCCACCTGCTTAGCCAGTATATCGTATGCCTGCTCTGCGGGGGTCCGCTGACGCGTCCCTTGAGTACTGCCGTTCCGTTGTGTGGCCTCGGTGGCACGAACAACCGGTAGATCGCACCACTGGCCATTCACATACGTACGTAGCTTATCAGACTGGAAATACCAGGCTACCCTATGCTGAGTCAGCCAATCAAGCCCCACCACTAGGTCATATGGCACCGGCCCGACTAAGAAGTCGCCAGCTAAACGGGTCGCCCCGCACCACATAGTGAGCCCCTTTACTACGCGATCTATCCTCAACTGCCCACCGTTAGCTACGGTGAACACGTGCTCCTCAGGCAGCTTCCGTGCTCTCAGCTGTAGGCGTTCTACCGCCCCTGGGTTGATGAAGCTCCTCGAGGCGCCGGTATCCAGAAGAGCTTCGCACTGGTTGCCAGCCACTTCGACTCTTAGTACGGCGGTCATACCCACACTACACAGAGTCCCCTTGGGCGTGGCGTCTTCCTGCATCCTCTGCTCGCGCCACCACTGTAGTTCTTTAGTGTTCGTGACCTGCGGACGGTCCCCTTCAGTTGCGGTGGCGTTCAGCTTGCGGCCGTGGTCCAGTCTACGTCTAGACCCTTCCTTGTTTTGCAACATAGCCTCAGCATGTGACTGGTCAGCCGGGGGTTGCTGAGCCTCCCCCACGTCAGGACCGTCGGCGCGTTTCCGCTCAGTCCCCATACGCAACCTCTTCTCCCAATCTGGGGAGACTGGAATGGAGTTAGGCCCTGTGGCTACTGCGCACATCGCACCGTTCCCACTTCTAGTCCGCCTAGCCCGCTCGTCTCCCTTAACGGCTGGGCCCGTCCGTTTAAATGCCCCGATTGGTCGACGTTGGGCCGCATTGGCTGCTGTCTGGGCGGCCGGATGGGCTCTGCTCTCGGCCGAGCCGACGTAGGACAATCTCTAGCGTAGTGATCCCGGCCTCCACACCGGGAGCACACTTCCCCGATCCGTCGCGTCGCTCCGTTACGGAGCGGACAGTCCCTGCTCACATGTCCCCTTCCGCTGCACGTGTAGCAGCGTGAGTCCGTAGTATCATTCCTTCTGTCGTCCCTGTTCTCTCGTTCGCGTAGTAGGCCCGGCTCTCGCCCGCCTTTATCCCATCTACGCGTGGCGTCCTCTAAGTCTCGCCGGAATCGGTGGCAGTCTTCGCGCAAATCCTTCCACGGTGCCGCTGTGGTAGCCAGTGCTGCGGCGGCTTCCTGCCAGTCTGCAAATCTCCTTGTTCCCCCTTGAGTTACCTCTCGGAGTATTTCATCTGGTAGGTTGGCCAGGTAGTAACCCACCAACAGATCTGGGGCCACCGTCACCCCTTGAGCCACGATGTCCGCAAAGCACGCAGAGTATGCGCGGTGGTCGCCCCTCCATACATTCTTAGCTAGCATGACTTTCATCCGTTCCAGAGTTATACTACAGAAGTGCTCGCAGAATCGCTGTCTCAATTGCTCCCAATCAGTTAGGGATTCTCCAGTGCGACGCAGATACATCCAGTATCTCAAGGCGTCTCCCCTCAGATATCTTTTGAGTTCTTCTCCCCACAGCCGTTCTTCTAGCCCTCTTTCAATGAAATCTAACTCCGCCAGGTCGAGGAAATCCCTCATGTTCTTGCCGTCCTCGTATCCGATGGACCTCTGGCACGCCTGTACTACCCCCCGTGCCATCTGAGAGGCAAGTTCCCGAAAGAACTCGGGCAGAACCGGATCCGCCCAAGCTTGATCCACTACGGGTCCCTTGCGCCCTCGAACGTGGCGGTCCCAGACTCTCGGTGCCGATCGAGCCACCCCCGCGGTGGGTGGGCTGATGCAGCGATCGGGTTCTGTTCGCGGCATTTCCATTGGGTAATCCGCTGAATCGTCGTTTGGCTCATCTATATTCTGCATTTCTGCGTTCGGTTCAGGCGGAGGCTGTACCACTTTCCCGTTGCGTAGATGCATGTCCCCCTCCGTCCCCACTGAGGTGTGTTGGTCCCTTCGGGCTTTAAGGGGGAGGGTCTTCCCTTGTTAGCAAGCTCGAAATGCTGCCCAGATTGTTTTTATAGATCCCGGAACAGCCCCCAAATGTAGTGAACAGCTGTCTACACTGTTACTACGTAATGTCCCTTGGCGAGTCCGACTCGGCGGTCACTCGACACAGTTGGTC